TATATTTATTTGCAAGGACACGCAGTGTGAAATTATAAATTTTTTTTTCATTTTTATTTTTTTATGTTATAACGTGAAGGGTTTCTAATATTTTCTAAGTATATATATATATATACTTAATAAAAGGGGACTATATATATACGTGTCGACAGTACATACATACATGTGTTCTCCTTGAATTTACTAATGATTTTGATGTAGCTATCGATCGATTGAAGCTCAAGTTGTTGATTTCCATTGTAATCTTCCTCAGCCCTTTATAATTTATTATTTAAGTAGTTGAACTGCAAAGTATATGAACACGTAGCTAGCTATAGTTTGGGTGGTACATACTAAGTTTGCCATTTCTGGAAAATTGTAAGATGACATCAAACTGGGGTAGGTATGTAGGTTTAAAATAATAAAAAATATATATAGAAAATAAAACCCTATATTTTTCCCTGAGCTGCCAACCTTTTTGATAGGTTATTCTATAAGGAGGGTGAAAGAGTCGGTCCCCGAAAAACACATACAGGGTCACTGTGTGGAGGTGGACTTCTGAACAACAACGGTGACCACCGCACACACACTTTGATCTTATGTATCTTGCAGAGCTTAAGGCAGGGCAAGATGAAGGGATAAAATGCCGTAACGTGCTGTTGAAGATGATGACAGATGTTGATAATGAAATTAGACAACTTAAACTTGATGATTAATACAAGGGTTTAAGTCAGCTTGAACAGTAATATGAATGAGAAATGTAAAAAAGGAAAAAAAATCAAACACATGTCAATATGTTATGTGGTTGTTGTTTTAAATATATAACTCAAATAAAAAAGACATAATTAAAGGAAAAATCAGCGCTATATAAACCAATAATTAAGCGATTCTTGTTTGGGCACGTGATGAAATTCATCATAATCTGCATATCAGAATCAATCACTTTCCATCTAAAGTCCTGGGTTTTGAATAATATGCCATGCCTATAATTTTCGTCCTTTGCTTAATCCATCTGGTTTCAACATACATTAGAGGATAGTCATCTGTTGACTGAGAACGACATGCTTAAAGGACGACTTTGCCCCTTACCATAATAGTGCAAATACATGTACAAGATTCATGAATGAGAATGTATACATGCTGTTGATCAAGTCAAAAATTGAATGTGCCTTCTTTTTCTTGGTGCAGATTACATATAAAATGTTGGATGGGAAGATATTTTCACATGCACAAGAGATTTTTCAAAGACATGTCGGGGAAAGAGCACAGCTTCTAGCTAGACTAGACTTAAAACCAGTACACACAAAAACAGCATCCAATTTGTTTTTAGCACCTGAAATTGAGCTTTTGATGAGCTTTTTTTACGCCAAATAAGCATTGCCTTTTTGGCTTTCGCAATTCTTTTCTTGTATTTTATCGGACGAATATATGTACATCTATCTTTGTAATGAATGGTTATACATTGGCACGCAATATCTGGAGGGTATGGGATGAATTCAGATGCCAAACCTCCAATCATCCTATCCAATCACGTGTTAGGAGGCAATCTCTCACGAGAAATCCCATGCCCCATCCATATGCTCGTGCTTTATGTCTCTGGTCCCAGTCAGTGGCGCATGCATGAATTTTCTTTTCTTGGGGCAAGAAAACACTACTACCAGGTTACTAACTAGTAAAGATCAATCAACTCTTAGATGCATATAAAAATGATCATATAAACATATACATGCACACATTAGTGACACAAACTTTACACATTCTATCTAATTCCTCTATTGCACGACACAAAGAGAAAAATGAGAAGACTAAGTCTAGAGAACAAAACAAGAAGAATAATATAAGTAGAGCAGTAAAGCAGGCTGCCAATGGGGTCATACCATAGTGAAAAAGTATGTTTGGCCTAAGACTAGTGATCTCATGTTCGAAACCCGTAGGCACCAATATATGTAAGTAAATTCCCCTCCCCCTTTCAATCTTTGACCCCCAAAAAAAAAATGAAAAAAAAAGAGAGCAGTAGAGCAAGCCACCCTTTTTGCCCTGCCTTAGTCTTCTTTGAGGAAGTTGATCAAACAACTTGCCCTGACATGCTCCCATTCAATACAAACTTTCATAACAATTTGGCACCTTCACAGGGCAAGTGCCTTCATTGGACTCTTAATGGATCCGCCAAATGGTCCCAGTGTGTATGTTTCACCCTAAACCACAACCTCTTTGGGAGCCATGAAAATGTAGGTGATTAGTCAATTAATAAATGTCAATCACCGTTGCAATGATGTAAGAGTAACAGACAAAATGCATACTTGATTAGACAACTTTCACCGACGTGATTTAACCCGGTTCCAAGTTCGAATCATCTCTTTTTATTATGTGGTTCAAAAAGGTTTCAGTTGAACCTAATCCCAGGATTTCAAAACCGAATTCTCTTCGAAGTGAAATTTTTTACTGCCAATTGATGGCATCGAGTTGATGTGTTCTGATTGTAGAAATAATGTACAAGAACGTGGAGACCTGTAGTACAATGCAACATGTTTAACAAAAAGAGTTCCACCACGCGTACAGATTCTTTTTTGGTAATAGATTTCACCACTCTTCTGTCTGGCCCGAATATGGGAATCAAACTGAATGATTGAAATCTTTTCCGCAGTTGATCTCATAGAATGTGAATCGATCCTCAAGCACCAGCAGAATGTCGATCCTTAACTACATAAAGAAATTTGTTTCCTACGTGCACATGTCATGCTGTGAGAGATCAAATCAAACCCATAAAATTGTCACTGTGGAAGCAAAATATCTACGGATCTTAAGTTAAATAATTAAGCCAATCAATTTGAGAATTAGTTGGCCTAATTGAGAGTTATTTGATTTAATTGTCAAGTATTCGATTCTTACTCTAATTAAGGAATCAAATCCCTAATTACATAAATCTCTCAAAATTGGGGAAGAATAATTCCTTTCCATTTGTGGAATTATTCTTCCGAAACCCTAACCTCCGAGGCTCCTATAAATACATGGCTACACCAAAGGTTGAGGTACGTCTAAACTTCTGTCTCAAAATACTGCAGAAACTCTGCATAACTCTTTCTCTCTCTCACACAAGGCTCTGGCCACCCAGTTCACACCATACATATATCTCTATACCCTTTTGTTAGCTATTATTTTCCTACAAACACTCGAACTAACTTAGGCATCGGAGGACCTTTGGCCAACACTCCCCAGTGTGGTCCTCTTATTCCGATTGGTTGTGGTCCTCTTATTCCGATTGGTTCTGCAGGGATAAAGAGAAGTGAAAAGGAAGACGGAATCTTAGACGAATATTCTCGTAGAAAGAATCGTTCCCACAATCACTATAAACAGAACATCTATCAATCCATTTGCTCTTAATTTGTTTTAATGATAATTATATATTAATTCCACGCATTGATTTTAACATAATCTTTTCAAGAAACAAGAAGGTGAAATAGACAAAGTTATGCATGGTTCATATGATGACGACAATGCATGGTTTATGCACCACTTTTAAAAATAAAATAAAAAAACCATTGTGGGGTTGCACGTCCACTAATTTTACCTGTAAGTGATGCTGCACTTTGTGGACTAGACAAAAAGTAAAGGAAGAAGGTGCATTTACCTTTTGTCCGGGCCATGTTATTACTAGTGTTTTTCCAGTTTGACCATTCAAGGATGCAAACCAAAGCATGGGAAATGAGAAACTTATTCATTTTGCTTGGCTAAGTTTTTGTTCACCAGTGGAATTGATTTGACCAAATTAAAGTAGAAAATTTTATATATCTTTCTGAAGTTTGCAGCAAACACAAGGAAGAAGGAAGAAGGCATGAAGATGCTTGAAGATGCTGTTCTTATCGCCATCTTTTCTTTTTTCTTTAAAGAGGAGGACAGTCATGACTCAAACTCTCCATTTCCTGCCTGTGGTGGAGTTTGGGGATGCATCACTGAGGTGTATGTGTCCCCTTCAGGGATTATTCGTCGCATCAATTTAATTACAAGATTAATTAAGAGATTTTGATTGAGTTGTCTACTCCAACAAAAGTTGGAGTGAACTAAAAAAAAAAAAAATTAAAAAATTAAAACGTGATAGTATTTTTGACATGCTTGCTAGATTATGATAAAGAAACATTAAGCTCATGAAGCTCCTTTTTTTTTTTAATTTTTTTAATTTTTATATATGCATTCTTTTATCAATAATTGATCAAAGTAGCTAGGTTATAATCAGTTCTTTTTGTTAAGCAAATTGTCTAGTATTTCAATCTAATAGATAAGCCTAATGCACTACCATCCATCTGACCTAACTTACGTTTGCCTTTAAGAATCGAAGCGTAATTAGTTAAACTGATATGTATTCTTCTAGTTGTTTGGTTCTATTTTATAAATTTTAGGGGTTTCAGAGAGATCCTTTAATGATTTGATGAATTGATGAGCATGGGATTAACACTTTCTATCGATAAATTATAATATTAAAAAGGAAAAAAGAGAGAGTTTAACTATAAGATACCCAAATCAATCAGCTCAGCATCTAGAACTTCAAAATCAATATAAACAAAGACAATGGGAGTGAGATTGTGGAGCTCTCACAATGTGGAAATCTATCCAAGTTGCACTGATTTTTTTATTTTTGTTGTATATGAGAAAAGGTGGATACACCACGCAGCAAAGCAATAGCTGCCAACCAACCATAAATTGGGGGTTATCTGTGGAAGATAATGGTGAAAATAAACTTATGAGAGTGCATAGTTTGGCCCATTTGGGAGATAAAAAAATAGTGCATTATAATTTGATTGAGATGGGCCTATTTGGCATCTTCATCTTGTGCTTCACCATGATCTTGATGGAGACTGACTGTAGTCCTGGCTGCGCCTGATAAGACGATAAATTCATGGGAGTTATTGGAACAGAGCTGTCAAGAAGAACACTTGTCTTCTTTTTTGGGTTTCTTCCTCGTATACAAATTCAAATACAACTATACGTATAGAATAAAACCATCACCTTGTAAACATACCCATTTCTTTTGTATGGGGGAAAATGCGGGGCTAGAAGCCCAACAACAACTCATTTTAATCGAAGCACACTACAAGACCATATTTCTTTGAAAAGTATAACACAATACGACAAAGTTGAATCCAATATGATCAAGCAAAATACAGCTACAGACGAAGGTTGGAGTGGACAAGAATAGGACAGAATCATACACGCTGTGCCATAGCTACGAGGTACCATGTGTTTTACACGATTAAATGCTCGCCGCGACAAAATAAGTGTTCCCGGCCCCCTCCAGGATCCTTGTATGGCAGGCACCCAAGCAAAAAGGAGCCCCATCCTAAATCAAGGGACCCTAACAATAATCACAAAAGAAAGCAGGCAGATGATGTGCCGGAAATGACCCGATACTTCTTTTGTATCAATAATCCAATGACTGAACTTGTCTATGTTTCACTCATTCCCCAAATTTATGGACCCATCCTTCATCAGTTTTATGCTTAGACTGTTGAATCTCCCTCTTGAGTAATGTCGAGAAGCCTTTCTCCAGTCTGTCCCAGTTTTCATCATGGCAACAAATTCGTCGTAGCTGATAAGCCCATCCTGCATCCATAAAACAAAAACATCAGTTAGTCACCTTAAATATCATAGCATAGGGTCATAGGAAACTCTTCCTTGGGTCCTCACCTTGTCTGTGTCCACTTCTTGAAAGATGTCATTTGCTACATCTGTACAATCGTCTGCCCCATCTTCCATCAGTGCATCGCGGAGCTCGTCTGGCTCAATGTAGCCGTTGCTATTTTTGTCAAAGTAGGAAAATGCCTTGTGAAGATGTTCATCGTTGGCCATTCTCTGTAGGTGGAGGGAAACAGCAATAAATTCTCCATAGTCCAGGGTTCCCTTCCCGTTAGTATCAACCTGTTACCAACAAACTCGTCAAATTAAAACCAGAAGAGACTGATTTACCACTGGAAATTATCTCATTCAGTAGTTTTCAAGAATGACCCAGGAACAAGGTCAACTGAAACAGGAAATAGAGACGTGTTACAAAAACAAGATATGCTTTATCATCACCTTCACCCATACAACTACTACACTACCTTTTCCATCAAAACACAAAATTTGTGTTCAAAGTCAAAAAATTTGGGTTCAGAACTCTAGGTACATGAAGGAATGTCTTGAAGTTAAAGGTGCCTAAGAAGGTGTTGTCCGCATGAAGACCAGTGCATTTCTAAAGGTGCCTATGCTACTTGAAATCAAACAACCTAGGAATGCATCTAGAACCAACCTCCATGAAGGATAACTTTCTAATCCACCAGAACTATGGACGAGTTAGTCATATTCCTAAGAATGCATCAGTACAGTATTGCTAGTCCACCCAAGGTACTACAAGAAAAAATTGTTTCCTAGGACTGTCCTTAGAATTTCAAGTGTATTACAGTATAGGTTGAATGTGTTAACTAGGTAATAAATCGATATCTATGCCAAAAAACTTAAGTCATCAGGTTAGGAGGCTCATTTGATACTTATACATCAAATACGGTATCTAACCAATGCGTATTCCCCTTAACACCCTCTCACGTCTGCATCTAATTAAAGTAAACAATCGAGAACCATCTCTAACTAATAAAAGATTATGGATCATGAAAAGACCAATATAAATTTCAACTGTTTGATGTGTAATAGATTATGTCATAGTTGATCTCACGCTAGAGATACTGTTGAACGCAAAATATGAAGCAATACTCACAGCTTCAATAAGCAATTGAACTTCAGACTCGGCAAGTTGGGATCCAAAATTTCGAAGTCCAGATTTTAACTCTTCAATTGAAACAATGCCATCATTATCAGTGTCTATCTTCTTAAACATCTCCTTAATGTCTTCAACTTCATCAATGGAAAAGAAATCCGCAATAACCTGTTTGAAGTTCCACTTAAATTAGTCCTTGCATTGAAACATACTCCATAACAGCAAACACATAAGAAAGTTTGTAGGAGCAGTCAACCAACCCTTAGGGCTTTTCTTTTGAATCTGTTCATCATTGAAAACTGCTTAAGCCTTGACTTGACAACATCTCCAAGGGGAATGTTTGGAGCTTTCTTAGCATTTTGGAGCCAAGGATGCTCTGGAAATAGAGAAATTACCACAGATCAGGTATAACATAAATGAAGCAAGATATAACAACATTTTATGGTTGTATGGCAAAAGCTGTACATAGCAGTGGTCCTATATTTGGAGACTGACAGATTTTCCATACACAGGATGTCCGTTAAGATCAGAAATGTAGATACTCACACCAATGCATTGTTTGTGCACGTGTGTATCATACCTTATTAACATGTCAAAATTTCTTTATCATGTACCAAGACCCCTATCTAGAGTTTGTTGAAACGCAATATTTGACGTACATTTCAAATCATATATACAAGATATCAACCTCAGCATAATCTCTTCTTAATATAAATAAGGGCTTGCTCAATTACCACATTTTCAATGTGCAATGGATCCCTATCACAAAGTATATAATTATCACAAAGAGATGCAAATTACCAAGCACTTGCTTTGCAGTCAATCGTAGCTTTGGGTCTGGCTCCAACATTTGCCTAACTAAACTCTTGGCACTCTCCGAAATGTTGGGCCATGGATCACGTTTGAAATCTATCAGTCCACGAAGAATGGCCTGTGCAACCCCTTGTTCAGACTCTGCATAGAAGTACAAAAAGGTAAGTGGAAACCTCTTAAAAGAGAAAGCTCCCATCCCGCAGGGGGAGGAGGAAAGAAAGGGGGGAGGAGCAAGTGGGAGATATAATTACCCGCCCAAAAAGGGGGAACCCCACACAATAAAATATAGAGTATAACTCCTGCACTCCATATATCTATTTCTGGCCCATAATTCCGCTTGAGAACCTCAGGAGCCATGTAGTATGGACTTCCAACAATTTCTGAGAATCTCTCACCTGGAATGTGGAAAAGTTAATAATCTGATAACATACATATGACAAGAATATATACCCAAATTAGCATAATATGGAAAAACAGTTGAAAATTCATGCCTGCAATGTTATAGTTTTTAATAACAGTAACAATCGTTCAGAGTTTCTAGACTTAGCACACACAATATATATTAAGAAAAATCTATTTCTTTTCAACTTCCTGTTCATAGTTGGGCATTATTGTTGTAACTCATAGACTTTCCACGTAGTAAATTCTTTGTTTCATATCAGAAAAAGGAAAAACTAATCTCTTCAACCACTCTACATGTTCTGTTGCTTGAGTATCCATCTCTTAAAACATATCAATATCATCACATTATGTTTTTCTCAATTTAGTGGTATGTTAGCCTGTTACTTTGTTCCACTGGTAGCTAATTTAAATAACTTTTTCAAGCTTTTTCATTACTTGAACAAGGGGGAATCTACAAGGTAGGAGCGGTCAAAGAGAAGTGCAAAACATAAGAGGGAGAATTGATTGCAACAATGCAACTTCTCTAATATGGAACTTGGATAACAAGATTACATGTATTATTAGAAGTTCATTCTTATCATGACTTCTGCAGTCATCCTTCATCTCCCACTCCCATAAACCAACCAATACATCACCCCACCTTTCCCCCCCTCCTCCTCTCAAATGAATTCTTACGGTACACATCAAAATCTTTGATTGCAACTTAACAATGGCAATCTTGAAATATGGCGTTTCTAACTGTAAGAGCCACATCAGCATCCATTTGTGCACAGCATTGGACAATAGATTAAACAACAAAAATGCGAGTACTGTACAGGGTAACTACAGGCAATTAAGGTAAACAAAGTATAGAATTCATTGAATATTAAAAAAAATATATCCATACTTGAGCCAAATATAGTAAGCCAATTATGTCTTCAAGGTAGTCACAATCAAAACTTTCTAAGTTACTATATATAGTAGAGATTGTTTCAATTAGCCTTGCAAAATCAGAAACCCTAAATTCAAATTCATACCTGGCTTGAAGAATATAGACAGGCCGAAATCAATGGCCTTGAGAGGCGAATTCTCCTTCTTGTTCGCGAACAAGAAGTTCTCGGGCTTCAAGTCCCTATGAATCACTCCATGCTTGTGACAGAGCTGCACGACCTCAACAATGGTCCTGGTGACCGCCGCAGCAGCTCGCTCCGTATAATGCCCCCTGGCCACAATCCGATCGAAGAGCTCACCGCCCTCGCACAACTCCATCACCAAATGCACGGCATTTTCGTCCTCACAAGCCTCCTTCAAGCTCACGATGCTCGAATTCTTCGGCAAATGCTTCATAATCGCCACTTCGCGCCTCACATCCTCGATGTCCACTGCAGTCCTGAGCTTCCGCTTCGAAATGCTCTTGCAGGCCAAGAGCTCACGACTGTGGCGGTCGATACAGAGGTACGTGACGCCGAACTCGCCGCGGCCTAGCTCTCGATCCACCAAGTACTTCTCCTCGATGTTCTCCTTGGGCACGCCGGTCAACACTGTCGTCGGAGCCTTCTTCCCGGCGCTGGAGTCCCTCCGGCCGTGATCGTGGCCGGAAAAGTTCGATTTCACGTCCTCCCTGGCGACGGCGGCCGGAGATCTGCAACAATTGCCCATTGCGAAGCGCGCGCTTGGTGGCTCTGCACGGATCTCGCCAAAACCCTAACTAGCCCTAGGCAAGCTAGGGTTTCACATGATAATGCCGAAACCCAAGCCTTGTGAGAGAGAAAGAGAGAGAACAGCAGCAGAGTACTCCGAACTGGGAAATCAAAGCAAATGCGAGAGAAAGAGGGGAAAAGAGAGAAAATGGCCTGCAAAAGATAGTGAGGGTGTATGGTGTACCTTAGTTGTAGAGTGAAGAAGAGAGTGAGAGTGATGGTGTTTTGGAGATTTTTTTTATATTAGTTTTTATTTTACGCAATTATTAATTTGAAATAAAGAAAAAAATTAAAAAATTTGAAGAATATTTTATGTTCTTCTTTGGTTCTGTGAATTTTGTCGGGTCATCGAGAAGGAGGGTTTGAACGGTCGGAACGGGACGGTGAGAGTTGGGGTAAAACAGAGAGGACGATGGGTTGGCGTTGGCCGTTGGGGGTTGTTTGTTTGTTTGTTTGTTTGTTTATAATGAAATTGTTGGTGGCCTTAGGTTTGCGGTTTAATTAATTTGTGATATATTTAACCCAACAACTAGAGCCAGAAGGCAGAGGCAAGGCCCAGGGGCCAGAGGCTAGACAACAGACAGAATGATAGGGCTTAATTAAATAATCAACTTTATTTTGCTGCCCCTAAGCTTGTGGGAATTCACTATTCTGCCTTGAGTAATTTGGCAATTTAGATTTCTGTCTCGGTTCTTAAATCTGTTTTTTCATAAAATTTTTTGACCAATTATAAATTTAAGAAGGAAAAAAAGGAGTGTTCTTTGGGTTTCTAATTTTGCTTCTTGATTAGCATAGGGAAGATATCTGCAAACAATGTGAACATAACATTTCTTGTTGGGTTTTACATATGAGTCACATGATAAGTCGTCACAAGAGAAATATTTTATACACTCGTTGTATGCAAAAATTCCATATAATGCAAAAGATTAAGTGAGATTTGAAAGTCATTTTTTGATTTGGAAATACTGGGAAAACGTTAACTAGCAGATTTACCAACTTGAAAGGCAGCCTTGCTAATGAAATGCTATAAAATTTCTTTGATTAATATCATCAATTATGGATGTCAAAACAGTGCCATTAATTTTTAAAGGAAATATGCCAGAAGAGGGTAACGTGCAAAAAATGGAAGCAAATTGAGAGATTGTAACAAAGAAGAAGAGACACAAACAACATTGACCTACATCCATATTATATGTTGAGCAAGGGTTTTAATGTAAAGAGATTGAGTGTGGTGGGTTTGAATTAGAATTAACCAAGTTTGAAGTGCCTAAATAAGATTGAGGTGAATAATTGGAGCACGATGAGAAAAAGCCAAACACAAAAAGAAAAGAGAGTGAGAATTAAGGAGAAGATGCTGCATGTTGTCTGTTTTTAGCCCAGAATTAGAGATTAAAGGTAGGGGGAGGGGCCTTGTTGTCTGTTCTCTCTCTCTCTCGGACTGAGTACGTGGGTCTCATTTAGCAACCGGCTTTCAACTTTTTTTGATTTTGCTTCCATTTTGCTTTGCTTGCTTCCTCATGAAGAACTTGATATGTGGGGGCGTAAATGAATAATGAAAATAATGAATGGCTTGGTTTTGAACTTTGAATTAGTGTGGGGTTTTGTATGAATTGCTGGGTCCAATTTGTTGTATAACACAAGGTTTGCCTTTCCAAGTTTGATCTTCATTAAGTTGCTGGTGTTAACTATTTCGAAAGCAATTGTGACCAACAGAACTGCTCGAGGAAAAAGCAATTATGGCATAATATTTGCTTGTGTAAAGTTGGAACAAAGGCGACCTGCAATGTCGCCAAGTACAGAATGCAGCCGAAAAACCAAACGACAAGACTTGTGGGGAAAAAACTCTTTCAACTCTCTCTGATTCATTAGTAACAACAGCAGTGAAGGTCACACATGCGTACCATTCAATTATAAAAGCAAACCAAGCCCCTAAAAACCTCTCCAATGAAACATACACATATAGCTAGACAATATGATGTCGTTGACATGTTCTTATACGGAGAGGAAAGTCCATATAAAATCTCAACATTATTTGAAATTAGTTGAGAGAATGTTGGTGAGTGGAGACGCACCTAAAATTCATACGAAAAAGTGTATAACCCTACGTTATGTATACTCGTTTGTATATCACCACTTTTTATATATCTTTTTTCACATAAAGTTTTTCTTGTATACAAGATACTCGCTTCATGTGTGTTGTCTATCAGTTACACACACAAAACATGACTAAAAAGGAAGAAAAAAAAGGGTACTTATGTTATGCATTAGATAACAAATATATCTCTACTCTCTACCCAATTCAATGTTGTTTAAGTGTACGTTTAGTTCACCATGCTCCATCACCCTTCAAGTTTATATGATGAAATTTCCCAAATAGAAAAAGGCACAAAAAATATAAGGAGAAAGAAGACTTTTTTCGACAACTTCACTTTGCGAGAGTAATGTGGTCGATGCAAGTGGATCCCACAATGCCTTCAAGACCAGCATTATCGCACATAAACAACTGTTTCTAGCATAACTTAATGACTTATAATGTGAAAATCAAATAGAGTACTAGTGTGAGTGAGATATATACTATTTATGATGGATCAAGATTTGAATATGTATGTGAAAAGCCAACACACTCTTGCGGGCTGTACATATCGAATGCCTGCTTATATTGAAGTTGCAGAAGAATAATGATTATGTTGATAATAATAATAAGCTGTGTGTGTATTGTGTTGTGGGTTGCGTCTTTACAGCTCCTTTGGCTCGGCTTGACTTGAAAGCCTGGTGGACTTTATGAGGTTGATCACGTAATTTCAGAAAATGTGAGACCTACTACCAGCCATTGAGGAAGCAAAAGTCAAAGAGTAGAATTGATTAAGATCAAAGTATCGCAATCAGATATTAAAAGAACAACTTCATGTAAACTTCTCCAGAATATTTTATATACGTAGGCTGCTTCGTCATCTCTTGTGTCTTGTTTCAAATTGATGCAACATCGCCAAAGTACTACAATACAAGCTAACTAACTTGCTTTGCTCCCAAGACATCTAATACAGCTCAGCTAAGGTTTCAGCCTTTCAGAACGATACAACACAGATATTTTTGCCAATTTCTTATCAGATAGTTGTGCTTCATTGCTGATGTGTCCCATATATGACGTCAGATTTCCTGATCTCTCTCTCTCTCTCTCTCTCTCTCTCTCATATGCTGATGTGTCCCATATACTTACTTATTGCATATGTTCTACATATTACAAATGTGTAAATGCAACGCTACATCCGAACTAACTTAACGTGTTAGTGAGTAATTTTTCGGTATGACAGTCACCCTCCACGTAGTATTATCAAACCACTCATATTACAACACACGTAATTCTCATATAAAACTAAAATTAACATTTGTGAGCAAATCAATGACAATACTCAAGAACACAAACATAATACAAATAACAACACTCAATAAGCAAAGGCCAATGGATGCATAACGCAAATTCTCATATAATCGTGTAAGTGGTAATTCCACACGTGAGGTCGTATTGGTGTTAGATATCATGAGCCTAGCTAGCGTATTCGGAATTTATTAATATCCATTAATACGACCATTAGGTTTGCTTAAAGAAAGGTATGATCTCATGGTTTTCGTGTGAATACCAACCAAAAAAATTTAGAAGCTCCAAGCGGGTCAAGGCAATCATCTTTGGATTTGACTTTAATTTGATAAAATAGTAATCCAAATGCATAATCCGAGGTTAATTTCCTGCGTGACCAACGCTTTTGATCAGGACACGAATCCAATATTCTGATCGAGAGGTCCCCATTATAGATGATCAACCATGGGGGTTCATGGACATGTACTTGCACACACCATTGACTTGTTCATCAATTTGAATATAATTTCAACCCAAGTCGTTGAATTTTATAATAACCCTAAGAATTTGAAGGAGTAAACTCATACCCGTTCTCCACTTTGCGTTAGTCAAAGTCATTTCAATTTCCAACTACAAATATTGACGTTCGGCAAAGGAAAAACAACAAATATGTGTATTGTCATTTTCGTTCCTTTTCCCCCTGCTATATGTTATGTATTTTTTTGGGTAATTTGACTATACATTTTGCAGTTGGTGAAATGTGTCCACCAAAATCTAGATTTGAGAGTATCCAAAGTATGAGGAAATATCAAAGGGCTAGAATATAGGTATCCTAAACATATTTTAACACTTAAAAATTAAGAGTCAGTTGTTACAAATAATATCGGGGTAAGGAGAAATCAAAAACAGGATGCAAACGGTAAATGTGTATACTCTTATAATAATGTTATTTCCTGTTGCACGAAAGTCACTCTCGACCGCAAACGACTTGTAGCTCAAATAATTAGGAGTTTTTTTTTTTTCTTCTCAATATTGAAAGAGATCTGGAGTTGAAGCTTTTGATTTATAGGAAAAAAGAAAGATCATGGCGGTGAGGTGGCCACCTTCATCATTCCAAATCCAAGGAAAACAAGTGGCTTTCTTTCTTTCAGCCTGGTCTCACCATAGATACACAATACAACGCGGTCTTATTGGGCAAACGACGTTTTACCACTTTTACCTCCCAAATTCAAAGTATGGATGGAATTCCACAAAAATCCACAGAAGTCGGTCCATCCCTCCAATTCCCCAGTCCCGTTATCCATATCCATTTTGGTAATCTTACACGGGCTAACATTCTCGGGTCAAATAATTTGGGTATGGACTTGAATGGGTCACAACAGCCACCGGTGTGAACAATGAGACTAGTGGGTCCAATGTTGTTTCCATTTATCATGTCTGCATGCAGGCCACGTGGAAAGACATGGTAGGCGTCCACACATGGTACACTGCGGAATAACGCGTAGGTGATTAAAATAATAACGGCCCACAGAGAGAGAGTATCCAGAGATGGCAAATTTTCTTTTTCAAAAGATAGGAAAATCCCAATTTTAAACCATCTTCTGATGTTAAAATTATTATATATAGTTTGAAATTTCTAGACGAAGTCTTTTTCCTATTTTATGATAAAATTCACATAAAGAGAGGGCTCCCGGGAGTGCAGAAATATCTTCAAAAACTGGTAAAAACGTGCCCCCTTCAAACAATTATAATTGGATTCGAGAGTACATACATTTGATTTGTGACACTAATCAAATAAAAATTGTAAAATGTCAATATTCACACTCGAAAATGTTCGATGTTATGTACCGAAAGATAACTCAAGTAGTCTCTCAATTTATTTTTTTTTTACAAAAAATATATTGTATTAAAAAATCATGAAACAATATAGAGTAACAACAGCCTTGTTAAAATCTTCCTAGAAAAAACCACGTGGGGCAAAATTATGGGATAACTCAAGTTAACTCAAGTAGTCACTCAATTTAAAATTAAGTATAATTTTATATATTTAGATTTTTTTTATAAAAAAAATACATTTATAAAAAAAAATACATATTTTTTTATTATTTTTTTTTATACGAGCGATATTGGAGAAAAGAGAACTCAAACAAAAAACATCAGGTACAATGATAATAGCGCAAAATTACTTAAGCTACAAACTCCTTTCATTTTTCATTATCTTTGTATGTATATAAAGCTTTTACAAATTACAGCTTAAAAGTTCATGCAAAAAAAAAGGCTTGCAAATCGAGGACTTATCGCCTGCGCCCTACGTAGAGTCTGGAAGCCTTTGTTGTCCCTTTCACACGCTTCAAAACGCAAGGACTGGAAATTGAAAAAAAAAAATTAGTAAAAAAAAAACCTACAAAACATAAATTTTGTATTTTTTTGTTAAACTTAAAAGAAACAATTAAATAAAAAGCCTTGGAGCAGAAGATTTAAAAAACCGGGTGCAGAGAATAACGTCTGAGCAGGGCAGCTCATAGACTTTTCTCGTAAGCATGACGACACGCAAACGCAGTGGGAACAAATGGGATCATGTATGTACACAAAAACAAAATAAAATAAAAATAAAATAAAAAAGAAAGAGACAGAGGGAGAGAAGAGAGAGAAAGGGAAATGAGTTTCCGCGTAGACAGATGAGACTGATGAGAAGCTAAACAGGAGACAAAACCTTTTCTTTTCCCTTCTTTATTTCTTTCTTTCTTTCCTTTCTCTCTTTGTTTTTCATTTTCTGGAACTTCTCATCAAATCTGAACGAATAATTATTAAACTGCTGGTTTTTTATATCGACACATAAGCAGTTAAAGAAAGAGAGGAGGAAGAAAGAGATCATCAAAATCTGTCCCTTTTTTTCTTCCTTAAGGATTCACACCTGCCATTCACACCACCCCCTTCATAGAATCTAAGCTTTATCCTCCTTCTCTCTCTCTTCTTTTCTTCTTTCATATTAAATCTTTTCGAAACCCAAACTTAATCTTCACGAAAACACCCCTTTTTAAGATTGAGGTTTTGGTCATGGAGGGACATCATCGTCATCATCACCAACAACAACAGCAACCTCATCAACCACTTCAGCATCAAACTCATCAGCTTCATCTTCAACAACAACAACAACAACAACAGCAGCTTCAGCAGCAGCAGCTACAGCAGCCGCTTCCTAGTACTATCAGCGTCAACGTGGACGCGAGCGATAGGTTTCCTCAATGGAGCATTCAAGAGACGAAAGAGTTGCTGGTGATCAGAGCCGAGCTCGACCAGACTTTCATGGAGACGAAGAGAAACAAGCTTTTGTGGGAAGTGATTGCCACCAAGATGAAGGAAAAGGGCCACCATCGCAGCGCCGAACAGTGCAAGTGCAAGTGGAAAAACCTCGTTACCCGTTACAAGGTACACAAATGTTATGTAAAGTATAAACCCAAATAAGTCCTAAGTTTAATTATTGATTAATTAATCTCCCATCTAATCAACACACCTTTTATACGACATACTGATTGCCTTTCAGGGGTTTGCTTTTGCTTTTCCTTAATTCATCAAACCCAAAATCTTCAAAAGTTTTTTTTTGCTGCCTTCATTATTATCTGTTTGACATGTATATGTGTGTGTCTTTATGTTTCGCTTTCTGTTGATGTATTTAGGGATGTGAGACGATGGAGCCGGAGGCTATGAGGCAGCAATTCCCATTTTACAATGAGCTGCAAGCGATTTTCGCAGCGAGGATGCAGAGAATGCTGTGGGCAGAAGAGAGCGGGGCTGCAAGCGGGTCGAAGAAGAAAGCGCTTTCTTCGGATGAGGAGGAAGATAATGAGGACAGCGAGGCAGAGAATAAGGCAAGCACGGTGAGGAAAAAGAAGAAGAAGGTGAAGATGAGCAATATTGGCATCGGCAGTACAAGTGGGAGTGGAAGCGGAAATAATGTGAGGGAGATATTGGAGGAATTCATGAAGCAACAGATGCAAATGGAGATGCAATGGAGGGAGGAGTTTCAAGCGAGGGAGAACGAGAGGCGGTTGAAGGAGATGGAGTGGAGGCAGACTATGGAAGCTCTAGAGAACGAGAGGATAATGATGGAGAGGAGGTGGAGAGAGAGAGAAGAGCAAAGGAGGATGAGAGAGGAGGCTAGGGCTGAGAAGAGGGATGCTCTTATCACCGCTTTGCTAAACAAGCTTAGAAGAGAAGACATGTAGCAAGCAATGAAGGTGGCTTGAGAGGTTTGTTAGTTCTCAATTAGCTAGAAACAGTCTTGGTTCTTTGGAAATGGGTTTGGCGTTCAATGGATGTTATACATTATGTTGATCCATTTCCTTTCTTGTTTTGCCCACTGAGAGGCTTTTAATTAATTTATTGCTAGTTTAGTGAAGAAAAAAGGGCTACATCTCTCCATTAATCTCTCATCTCATTTCCATTGATTTAGAAAGAAAAATCTCTTAAAATTGCCTAATCACGTGTTTAGCCAGCTAAGTAGAATAGGTTACTGTTCTATTAAATTTCCATGTACAAGTCTTGATGTAAACACATGCAAGAAGATCGAAGATGAGTAGTTGTGAAACACTAAATACAGGCTTTGAGACTCCAAGCACGCCAAGTTGAATTTTGATCCAGGTAATTCATTGACATTTGTATTCTAGCTAGCAAAAGTTGATTGAATACATGCATGGTATACGGTTCTTAAGGTGGTGACATCATGACATGCATGTACACAAGTGGCTGAAGAAGCTAAAACGCCATATGGATTTTCCCATAACATTAACTAGATCTGACTTTTTCTGCATTTGAATTTTGAAGTTGTGTTGAGAGAGAGAGATATATATATATATATATTTTGTTTCCTTCATCCCAGTTGTTGTCATATATCTAGAAGTAGCATTTATGCCTGCAGGTGGGGCATTGAACTAAGCTGCTGAGGATGATTTACGAAGATTTCACTATATATATGCAATGGGACATAACATAGCCTTTTTAAGCTGCTTTTTGCTTTAGTGGAGAACTGAAAAAGGGTTTGAAATGATAGACGGATGTGAAAATACTGTATTTTTAGACCGTTTAACATGTTATGTATATATGTATTGATTTGTTGATAACCCAAAAGATCTCTTGCACAGTATACTAGATTAGAAATTTCTCATGTGTGGGACTAATTTTGTACGATCTAAAACGGAGATATGTCAAACACCATTTTCAATTTTGAAAGTGTATTATTATATTCTCTCATGTGATATTGTGCGAGTTAAATATCGTGATGACGTATATACTTGTCTATATACTGTGATGATATGTGAGATGAAAGTTAAATTTACTCTTAGCAAACTACATATATATATAGCTAGTTTTTCTTCAGGACACGTGATTTCCAAGATTCCAAGGACTGTGGCCGTGTTTGCAGAGTCTCAAACTTCGCTCCTCTTTTGACATTCTAGCATTTTTGCAGATTGATCGGTTTATTAAAATACATACATAATCTTCATGATTTTGAAGCTACAAATATATGCTGTCTAGAATGCGGCAGATATCAGATGGGCTTGTTTCACGTCTTACACACACACCGCATGAAAATCATGCCCTATTTCTTTTAACTAATTAAATTTTACAGCTAACATAAAAAAGCCATGAGCGACGTGTCATGATAAGCTGTGCTGTGGCTTCTTCTTCTTCTTCTTCTTCTTCCATATCTGGTAGCTGCAGCAGCAAGCGTTAGTCAGAAGACTTTTGAACGGTTTAGGGAATAATGCTAAATAAATAAATCTTGGTCTACAAGTTTCATATTGACATTGTTGAGGTCCAGCTATTTTTAAAACGTACGTTACCGTGTTTTCGCCCCTGTCTCTAGCTGGCATTTTGAAATCAAGTTTCGGCATTTCTCACCGACGCATATAAATTGCATTTTGTCCCAAAATAATTTGGTGGTCCACACTCAAACTATTTTCCGCCAACCATAATTTGCTTGCAGATTTCTGCAGTCTCAATATGGATAGGATAAAGGCCTGAGTTTCTTCTCAATTTCATAGCAACATTAAACTTGTGTGAACAACTATTTTTTTATTAAAAAGAAAAAAAAAATCAATGAGGCGTTAAACTTGTGTGAACAACGTAAGAAATGCCATTAACTTAAAACATTCTAAATTTGAACATTTACACATATACGGGGATGAAGTTGATGCAGACCTGAGGCTGTCATGGCCCCCTATATGTACCAATCTAGCTCCGTCATTGCACACATACAACTTCTTAAGTTATACACATTTATATTTTTATAAGTATCTTATTCGTACATGTGAACGATGAACTGAAATGAGCAGATTATAAGAATTTTCTTAGTTCACCAATTAGAAAATCAAATTTGATCTTATTGCGTCAACTTGCCAGAACCCATATGGTCTTTACGGGTGTTTTGCCCATTTCAATGCGAAGGAATGTCTGCAACTTCCAAGTTTGACCAGCTCCTATTTGGACTGAATCTATAAAGAAATACAGTTGAACAACCTCTGCTGCTTGAATAATATAATCTCTCTCTTTAAGACCCTAATCACATGGTTGCTATCATCTTTTCCCTTCAAAAGAAAACACTATTATTCTATCACCCATTGGATTTCTACAAATCTTGACTAATTTTATAGGTGATGCCAATATCATTCGGTCTAGGGAGGGAACAAAGACTTTCGCTTGATGGGCTCAGTTTAGTATAAATAATCACACATCCAGCCACGTGTGTAGACTGTGGCTTGGCGTCTGTCAAATAAACTCAAATTCGTCAATTTCTTTGACTTTATGAGCTGAATAATTAAAGGACCATGAGAAACTCTCATATTCTTATTCAACAGAACAATCTCAACTACTATGTAATTAAAATAATGTACCATTTGTTCATTTGCTTTGAAACTCAATAGAAAGATTGGTACATGTTACTTTGATTAACGAGGTAGGCATGAGAATTGTTAATATGCAATGTTCTCCGCTAGAACTTGAAGGGATATGTAATTCCAACTTTGAGTTTGTGAAAATAAAACACTCCAATCTAAAAAGGATGCTGATTTTAAGGTCAAAATTAAAGGCCAAAAGTGACAGCAAAGGTTTCTTGGCCTATAACCTCTCTTCCTTGCAAGATTGTGATTTGTGTATTTGAACTCAGTCAGAGAAGGAAAAAGAAACTACCAATAATAAATATATCTTGTGTAATCTTGTGAGATAGGCTTAGGGGTAAGAAATATAAGTGGGAAAATATTAAAGAATTGAAAGATATATATAGATGTAACTACTGAATTGAAAGGCTGTTTTTTTCTTCTGGGCAATTGTAAAATCAATGGGAGATTGAAAGGCTCTCTCTCTCTCTCTCTCTCTCTCTATATATATATATATATGTATATATGTATAATATTCACACAATTTTCAAACTTTGAGGAGACACTCAAGACCTATAAATATATCAAAAGCACTTCAGTTTATAGAAACCTTATGGCCTGGCCATTGTATGCTTCAAGACTCTAAAAACAAAACAAAAATCATAAAAATTGATAAAAAGAATTAGCACCATTCAAAAGATTGATTGATTGGATGCAGATCAAGGAAAATTGTAGATTTCTAAAACTTCTGAACTTCTCCTTTCACTACCCAAACCAGATTGATTAGTTGGCAATACTCAGAATTAGCTTGTTTTAGGCATTGCCTCACTGTCTTTGACCTCTGGGAAACTTGGAAAAAGATGAACTTCTGCACTTCATCCAACTGTGTCTGGTTCATCTGTTGGCCTTGCTTCTGTCAGATGGAAAAATACATTGTTGCTTGAAGGGAATTTGTATAATTAAAATCAGAACAAAATGCAAAGCCTGAAAGAGGAAGCTGTGCCAATATCAGATATGATTATGCAGACCTCTCTTTCACCCACTTCCATTGTTGGTTAAACAGAACACCTCAATTCCTTATGTATGTATATAAGGTGAAAACTTGCCAAAGAAGCATCTGCTACTACCCAAAAAAGCCATGCCCTTTTCTGCATGATGGGGAATTGGGAAGAAGGGATTTGCTGAGGCACAAGTACAGTTGTGTCCCTTGCTTGGAGTTCAAGAATGGGTTTTGCCCACAGGCTGATGCCCGTGGCCATTCACATGGGATTTTGGAGGAGAGGTTTCATCCTATGCTGTTCAGGACCAGATACTGTTGGTACAGGACCACTTGCAAAAGACAAGATTGCTCTTATGCTCACAAGGAAGAGGAAAAAAGGGCTCCTACTGTTGCTCCATTTGTGCCTTGTCTGAGTTCTCTTAGACCAAGTAAACAATTTCTACTGCTGCTCTCAGCATCGGGGTAAAAAACCCAGTTACCATTTACCCCACTCAATCCATGATGCAAACTTCGTGGCAAAAACAAAGTAGTGATTATAAACAGCAGCAATCTCAGCTTCAGCAGAAGCAGCAGAGGCCTGCAATTAGTTTCAACAGGCCAAGTCCTTCTCCACAGTCGTTTTGTGGTACTAACGCTGGTGAAAATGATCAATTTGTGACCTTTGATGGACTTAGTGGGGAAAAAGTAAATTTCACGACAACCAATCTCCACAATGAAAATGGACTGCTTAGAACACTCAACTGTTCTTCAATCACAGGTCATAGCTCACAGTGGGGTTTTAGCAACCAGCCTGATTTTTCATGGGTTTATGGTCTGGTTGAAGATGGATCAACCCAACTTGTTGGAGGACCAGAATTAATTGGGCCAAATATATGCATACAAACATGTAACAGTAATTGTAAAGCTCATCTTTCAACACCAAATAATTGTTAAAATTTCGAATGTCATTTACTGATCGCATCCGATCCCAAATAATCAAATCATGGAAGTTTACCCTTTTAGTGAATTTCAATTACCAATCCCATCTGCATTTGGAGAAGGGTTTGTTGAATTTCAGTGAATGTTCTTTTTCTTGGTTAATTTTCTTTCCTATTATATTCGTGGTTCTGTTATAGATCTTCTTGGAAATTGGAAACACTCCGTTCTATAAGATAGAGATGTAACACGAATAAACATTGAGATCCATACTATGGAATTTTCATTCTCATTACTATGGAGCACTTGGTGTGCATTGCATGGTGTCAATTTCGTCGAACACTTGTGGAGAGAGGCTCGTCGTGTCTACATGGAAAAATTGTATGTGTCATTGGAATTGCCGAAGTGCTTACGTGGCTCCCAGCTGGCTACATCTTCCATTTCACTAAGCTCTCAATTCTCATAATAAAGAAAATCTTAGTAAGATCGTCAGACCCTGTCACCCGTAGGACCACTTTCACAAATAAGCGAATCCCTTGCATTAGAGTTCCAAGCTTATCCCAACCCTAATGTAGGTGTCACACTTTTTTGTAAGAACGATTGTATGTGTGATGTGGTCCGACCTTGCTACCCGTAGGATCGCTTTCACAAACAAGCGAAACCTTTGTATTAGGGTTCCACGTTTATCCCACCCCTAATGCAGGTGTCACACTTAATTGTAAGAACAATGATGTGGTCCGACCTTACCCAACACCTTCACCTCACAATGAGTGATGATTTTGATGGGATGATGGCTTTTCTCGTCTCATGATTTAATTAGCCGCAAATGTATAAGTTATTCACATGGAAGACGGCTAAGGCATCTCTAGTATTGTTGACTTGTTTGTTGCCCCTATGAAGAAGGAACGTAAGTCATTCATTGAAATTTCCACAAAAGAATTAAAGTTGTTATTTTCAACAGAGGATTGTTCATAATAGTTTGATGTGCTTACTTACTAGTGCAGATGTTGACATGTTGTCGAAATTAACTCTCCACCTACCAACTTGTTTGGGATGATGTTCATCAAATTTAACAAAACTATGTTTTATTCAAAATCAATCTACAAGAATAAATGACAGAAAACAATTAAAATTGGATGGAAGTTACATTGGATTAGATTTTGATGGCAAAAAAAACTACAAAAACCTGCCCTTTTTTTAAAGAGGCAGGAGATTAAAAAAAAAAAAAACAACTTACATGTAACGGGAATGGGTGTAAGCAATACGCATTTTCCAATTGATTTCATTGCTGCTCCTGCTAGTTGCAGGCACAGTCTCTCAATTATAATCTAAAAAGTCTTGAGATCCTTTCACACCAAAATGGAAAAGTTCAAGTTTTTAAACTGAGTCAGGTTTTCAAAGTTACAGAGAGAGAAACTTTGAAGGGTATATACAGAATCTCAAAACAAGTTCTTCTTTCATTCTTCAAGCACTGCAAGGCCACAGGCTTTCATGAGAAATCTACACGAACTCATCGATGGCCTGCTGCAATAGCATGTCAAGGATCAGCCCTTCAAATCCCAGGCAGATTTCTTCATAACCTTCGAACCCAGACACATTCTTAGCTACCCAATTTGACTCTTTCAAATCCTCCTCTGTCCACCTTTGGATTTTGGAAGCCAGCAGCTCTGCGTAATCTCTGGTGTCTTCGTCTTTAATTGGCTCAAAATCTTTTCTTCTGGCTGTTCTGACTTCAGGGTCGGCAATGTAAGGAGCTTTTGGTGAAGATTTCATGTTGGAGTTCAAATCCATAGGCATTGAATATCCTATAAACATCAACCCAAACAAATGAAGTTAGAATTAATTTGGTCACACAATGTGCTAAAGGAAATTAGTTAAAAAAACAGAACAAACCTGATATCCAAGCTTCATGTTGGATCAACATGTCATCAATGCAGAGAACAGAAACAGGGCTTGTGTTCTCTAAGCCATGAAAACCGGCAGCCTCTTTTTCCTTGGCAAATGCATGTTGATGGTTTGTCTTCTTGATTCTTGGTTCCTCCACCACTTTCTTCTTCTGGGTTGTCTTCTTCAGCTGATGACGATCGCTACTTTCCTTAAAATTCGCAGCACCACCATTCTTGTAACTGGTCTTCTTATTGGGAGAAACAGAGTACCCCAAACCCTTTGATTTTGAAGATTGTGCGCCACATTCTCTTCTAGGCTCATCCTTCAACTTAGAAATCTTCTTGTTTTGTTTTATGTTTACCATTTTCTCCTTCTTCTTCTTCTGCTTCATAATCTCATCACTCTCTCTTTTGCTGTTCTCCTTGTTCCTACTACTCTGTTCCTTCTTCCCCTGCTTCAGCTCTCCAAAACCCATCTCAGATTTCTTCACCTTCGACCCAATCTCCTTTGATTTATCCACATTGTCCAAGTACACAAGAAGAAAATCAGGACTTTTCTGATGATTCAGGGCCGCCGGGACTTCCCGGAAAGAGACTGAGGTTCGAACCCGGCGATGATGATGCTGACGATCTTGATCAGCCAAATCAAAATCCATCAAGTAATCAGCAAAACTCACTGACCTACTTCGGCTAACCAAATCTGGGGCTCTTCCTTTCGAAACCCAATTTGTTTCTGGCAAAGAGTCTAAACCCATCAGCCTTGCCACTATGCCAGGCGTGACAGAAGAAGCTGAAGATTGGATTTTGAGATCAGGGTTTGGTTTTCCTGGGAGCAGAGTGAGTTGGGTTGTATAAGGTTCCGCAATTTGATCTGTTGGGTGAGTGGGAACGCTTCCAGAGCACAGAAGCCTGCGCAAGACGCCATTGAAGCAGCTACCACTCATGGTTGTAATTTGAAAATCCCCCACACCAAATCAAGAGACAGAGCAGAGAAGTTTATCAAAGAAGAGAGGGCTTTGTTTTGTGATTTGAATTAATGGTGATGTTGTTATTGGCTTATCAAGGAAGACTTGGGTCGTTGAGTTCACATTAGAAACTAGAAAAGATGGAACCAAAAAGGTGGAAACACTGACGCGCAAATTTGTCGCGTATAAAATGAAGTAATTTTATCTTTCTTGGCACCAAATTGGCCTGTCAACGTGTTGTCAGCCATGCAGTTTATTCATTAAATTTATTTATCGGTTTAAATACGTGCCATTGATAGCAACTGGCAAGCATGAAGAATTAAACTAGAGGAGTTGAAAGACTTTTGTTGAAGTGTTAGAAACGCGTGGGTCGCATCTGGGTTCTCTGATTTTTCTTTGTTTTTGCCATTTTGGGGTTTCCCCCTTCTGCTTTTCTTCTACTAGAGAAGATGCCGAAGTTCTTGACCTTTTGGTGGTCCTCCATTCTAATTTCTTAGCCACCACCCCTATGGTCTTTGTACGGATTTAGAAATTCCAATCCACCGACTTTGCTGATTCTTTTGATTTTGGAGCTTATTGACTCAGTTGGGTTCTTTAGTTTAACGTGGGCCTGTTGTGGCGGCAACATCGGCTTAGAATTGGAAGTTTGGGCGAAGCTGATGTGAGACTGATATGGCTACATGGGTAAACCCAAAATCATATGATCGCGCAAGAGGTCCATTTTAGTCAATGTAGGTTTAGGGTTTCGGAATCAAAATTCAAGAACATGTTAAAAATTCTGTCAAATTCTTTATAAAATTCCCTTCCACATCAAGGACACATACTTGTTTTGTCATGAAATTAGACGAAAGTTTGGACGTGTCGTTCAATTGCGAAAAATGAGGATATCAAACTATATAAGTCAAATTGTCAGAATTAAAACTACATGAACTAAAATGAAAAGTCCTACAAACTATAAGGACCAAAGTGACTTTTTGCATCCTTTGTATTTTTTAAATGGAAGATGTTGATTAATCTGTGCAATTTTATGGTATGGAAGCGATATAAGACCCCCAACCAAAACATTGTGAAAGAAAACGACTCAGCCATTGTCCTCGGATATCATAAGAAAATACGTGGTCCTAAAGGCACCCATGAAAAGTAATCATGAACAAAATTTCAAGAAATCATAAGATAATAAGTGGCCCATTATCACTAAAAATAATAATATCCATAATGTCCCACTGAATCCACTAATTTCAATCAAAAGTGGAAGATGGCTACTTTTTCCCTATTCTTTTCCCTTATTTTTCTTCAATTTAAAATGGGGTTATACAATGCATGATAGTAGATTTGCTGAAGAGATTTTTTTTCCTCTCCATAAAGAATAAAATACAGTAATTTTTTTTTTTCAACAATGGCACCACCCTTTTTTCATCATTCTCTTGAGGCATTCCTTTCCCAAGAGTCCCAAATCAGTGGCATGCCCTCAATGCAAAGAGATCTGAAAGGTTGTCTTTGTGGTCATCTAAACTAAAGAATTGAAGCTTTTACTTTGATTTTGGAAAGCCACCAAAATCAGGGTCAGTTTGGTAGTACACAACATCCCCATTGTCACTGACATAGTGGTCTTTCTTCAAGCTTCTAATAAAACTCCCAAGCAGGTGAAACGGTAGAGGCCCTGATTTCTTTGGCTCTCTGTAATATTTCCCAAATACTGGCTTAGCTGCTTCAGTCTGCAAGTTCAAGAACAAAAACACATTAAAACATTAAGACATTGCAGGTGTTAGGACTTAAGAGCAGGCTTGTTTTTAATCATATGAGTGTACTAATTCTACTTAAAATGAAATTTTGGTACTTACTGCTTCAACTAAATGGTAGTGGGGTATTTGAGGAAAAAGATGATGAACCACATGGGTGCCTATGTCATGGTGGATGTTATTGATCAATCCGTAGTCGCGATCAAGTGTGGTGAGACCTCCCCTTAGATAACTCCACTCCTGTCCAAGTTTTGATGAAGAAAGTTTTAACATATTGCACCAACTTTTGTCACAAACTTAAACCAGACAAGATAAGATACAGCTATGCAAGGACTTTTCTCTGTTGTGGTATCTTAACATGTTGCCTATCATGAATTGAAAAGCCACGTACCTTTCCTCTGTACCATGGTAATTTGTCTTCATGGCCATGGTGATGCAAGTAAGTTACCAAATCCAGCCACATGACAAACACCTAAAATTAAAAAGAAAGCAGTCAAATTTGGAATTCCTTGATTGCTGCAGAAAAGCTTATCCCAATTCTTGTGTAGAATCATAAGAAGATTAAAGATGTAGAATTTACCCAGTAGGGAATGCCATAGAGCTGAAGCAATTGAATAGGACCCATTACAAAGGACAACCCCACAAGCAAAGCAGCCATTGCTGTCCAACACAAAGTGGAAGTGATCACATTTTTCCTCTCATTAGGGACAAACAAGTCGCTGTTTGGGTGAAAGTGAGAACCAGTCTTTCCTGGACTTCTATTCCACTATAGGAAACCAATAACAATCAGCTACTATTTTCGTAAAGTATGTGGTATCAATCAATTCGCTACAGACTTACAAGGTAGAAAGGGTATGCAAGCATGGGAAAAGGAACGGTGAACCGCAAAATCCGTGTCATGCTATCCAATTTCTTGTAAATTCTCTCAGATAACTGCAAGCATAGAAATTTATCATCCTCTAACAAATAGAGAAACCCAGGATGCCCCAAGCAAAAGTAGAACAGAGAATCCATACAACAGAGGAAAAAAAGACTAACCGGGTGCCATGATTCATCATTCTCAACATGGCCATGGTTTTGATGATGAGTCCTGTGGCTAATTCTCCTGTAACATTCAATCAAGCCATCATTTTAGTGCATATTATCTAATTTTTCCAATAGATAGGAAGAATCAGAACACAAGAAACCATTGTTCATATTTACAGTGCATCATATTATATTAATCTATCTTCAGGAACATACCATCCATGATAGGGTACAAGAATTGAAGAATGCAAGAGATGCCCCACCACACTGTTTAGCTTGGGATTGTTTGAAAAGCTTCCATGACCACTACATAATCAAACACCAGACGAACAATTCATACCACAAAACACAAACTGATACTAAATCACACACCAAGAACACAAAATATGAGAAGGAACTGAGAAGTGATTACCAATCATGTCCAAGAACAAAGAGAGCCCAAAACATTGTCCCCTGAGCAGCCCAATACAGAGGCCAAACGAACCACTTGTTTATATAAACCGCCGCTGCAGCCAATCCAAAAACCACCAGCACATCCCTTACCACATAGCTCATTGACCTCCACGGGTCCTTAACCCAACAATGCTTCGGAATGGCTGCTTTAATGTCAGCCAATTTAAACGGTGGTGGTGCACCTGGATCAAATTCCAGCTCTTCTTCATCTCCAACGCCATTAACACCATTGACTCTCTCTTTCTCGTCTTCAATAGAAGCAACTCTTAATGGAGCACTCACTTTCAGACCCCAGCTTCTCCCTCTAAAGCACGCACTCGAAATTTTGGCTGAAGCCAATCTTAGATCTGTCACGCTCTTGTTCGACCGAAAAACTCGAACTTTTGCTGGGTGGTTAGAGGAAAATCCGGCTGTGGGTCTACGAAAATTTTGAGGGAGAGGCTTTAAGCCACATTCTGAGAGAACCCAACTCGCCGCCATTGGAGACCCAGATGGAGCAAAAATACCAGGGTTTTAGTTCTGAGTCTCTCTCCGGTTTTTAGAGGAGAGAATATGTGAAGGTGAGCAAACAAAAAGAAGAGGGTTGAAGGAAAATATCTAGGATTTAAAAATGAGATAACAATTTTCTTTCCTCCTTCAAGAACGACGACACGACTATTTTTGTTCTCAGTGTTTCTCAAAGCCCCATTATTTTATAGTTTGTTCTTCTCTCTCAAAGCCTTGACCTTGAACATGGACTGGGAGCTTTTAACAACTGGTGATGACGAGGGAGAGACTTGAAGGCTTGGTCTTCACCTAACAAGAAGATGGCCATACGAGTCGGTATAAATATATGACCAATTGGTCAGTGGGCTTGTGTTCAAATTGGAATATAAGAATTTCTCCACTCTCAATTGCTTGCTAGTGGCTCTCATGGTTTGGTTTGACCTGCTATGGGAATTTGATCGGTGGGCTTTTTGCTTATGTCATATATCATTGAAGGCTAATGTCACACGTGTCATTAAACAATAGCCTATTTGCAATAATAAGCCCATTGGGAAGAAAAAGAAGCCCTAGGAAGGAACAAGGGAATTTCATAAAAAGCTGCCCATGAGAATTTCATGCTTCACATTTTACCATTTAATTATCTTTTCATACCACACCGTCCAAGTATTTTGCGACTCATTTTACTTCAACGATTTGACACTCAACATCATGTTTTTGGTGTTTTTTTTGGCTAAAATGTTTGGTACTTCTCTCATCTCTCTCCCTGTATCTAAAATATTTTTGACATCCTCATATTCCATATAATAATACAAATGACATTATTGTCAATTACGTTTTTTCGTAACGTGATATTTAGAATAACACGGGGTAACTCATAGGGTCTAACACCGGCCTAACTCATAAGTATGTGCCTATTTTGTTTGGACTCATCACAAGTCTGCTTCTATGCCTTCTTTTCCTACTTAAACATGTAGATGACAGCTTTGCATCATGTTTTGTTTGGGTACGAAAAATAAAAGTGGTAGTTTTTAGATGTAAGGGAGTAGGGGACATCACATATGGCAAGTGCTCAAGTGGTTTTACTCAGTTAATTTCTTTTGATTTTTATTGCTTCTGACGAATTTGTCAACTAATAGCTCATTTTTATAAGATTGAATTAACTTTGCTTTGAAAATTAAAATATAAATATAAAATTCAAAGAAGAAAAAGTAATAAGAAAGAAGAAAACTATTCAAGCTCATCATATAAATCACGATTCTCTTGCATAGTTTCTCCCCTGCCAAAAGAATGAATGTTCATGTTGTCCACACGTTATGAATTGTTGTACAAATAAACGACTTCCTAACCAAACTTGAGTTCAATTGAAAGATTTGCTTATTATGAACTAATTGCTCGTTTCCTTGAACACGACTTCCATTTCAAACATTGTAATATAAAGATTTTCTCTCGTTTTGGTAGTTACAAACTAGATGTTGTACTTTGCAACAAGTTTTGGTTTTGACATAAAAGGAGATTTGTGGGGTCTTTGCTTATTGCTCAATCCTATTAAAGGAGAAGTTCTAGAGCTCCCATGAGTGGTCTCGCACGAGATTTGACAATATAACTAGCATTCATAAGTTCTTTTTGTTAGTCAAAGGCTATTCTCAAATTTAAATTCAAACTCATGATATTGTTTGTACGTTTCACAGTTTGAAAGTCTGTTATATTTGTATTTTAAATTCTGATCACAAGGATTGCCTTATCAAGAGGGAGTCCTATCTTGTCTATGTAACTAGCTCTTGTAATTTGTTTATAAATACAACTCTCCATCACACTGATGGATCATTCAACCAAACCTACTTTCTTGAGTAAACATAAGTCTTACACTTTTTTTATTTCTAAAGGTGTGCCAAACAAAACCTTATACATTGGACACAAGATCATCATCTTGGAGAGAAATACATTGAGTTCCCCATGTGAGTTAGCAAGAATGTATGTACATATGGATTAATTAGTTAATCATAATGTAGGTGGTAAAAACCCTTATTGTTTGATTTCAAGAAATATGAATTCGTTTGGACCCCTTATCCTAATTTACCACAGGTTTTGTTCCTAGTTTGCACATACATGCTTAATTTGGGAGGATGTTTAGCCATTTTGTGATATAGGTATTTGCCTGTTGAGATATGGGTGCTAAAAAATTACGAAAAGAAAGGGTGGGTGACTGCACCATTCACTACCATATGTTTCCTCATATTTGGCTATGACCAATTAAGAACTGTGGTTAATGGGAGCATCCGAGCATGTCATATTTTTCACAGAAGGAGATCCTCTTATGTTTTAGTTTTGGGACGTAAGATATGATTTAATTTAATTTAATTCACTCATGCATTTGATTGGGCCAAAACCCATGTTGGTCTCAGCATGCATTTGATTAGAGAAAGAAGATCCTACTAATGAGCATATGTTCTCATTCTAATACACGTGTCACTCACATGTGAATCCTTAGCATAGCAACTCGTTGGCTTCACATTTTTGTTAAATCACAAAAATCATTATATCCTCATTAAAGATCATCACTTTTTTTTTTTTCAGGGTCTCTCTGTTTCTCTCCAATGGATCGAGCTCAGTTAGTTCTGGTTGGATTACCAATCTTTCTGTTCTGCACAGACATTTTTAGCCTTTTCACACCTAAACCTCCAAAAACCAGTACCCATTATCATGTTCATGATGATGAAGATCCTCAGCCCCTTGACCATCCAGATCCTCAACAACAACAGCTTCTCCAAGAGCCCCTTAAATTCCCCACCCAGCAGGTTTCTCTGTGCCAAAACCCCTACATGCATTTCCAATGTTCATATATACATGCATTACATCGTTTATATGATCATAAATGCTGAAAATTTTCAAATTTTTTTCAACTGCAGAAATCTGATGGCATTGGAGCAATTGGCATGGGAAGCACCATCAACATTGATTTCTGTACATCTTGTTCTTACAGGTTTCCGTGCTATTTCTTAGATGACATTTTCCTGATCTCATCAATTATTGAATTTGAAAATGTTTTGTTTAAGTGGTATTTTTTTTGGTGTAGAGTTGGATGCAAGTTGTTGTTTTTTTTTTTTTAATGTTAATTTAATCCTGTAATTTGGATCCTTATTTGTATGGTTGTGTCAGAGGAAGTGCAATAACAATAAAAAACATGCTGGGAACAGCATTTCCTGGGATCAATGTAATTCTGGCAAACCACCCTCCTCCACTTCCAAGACGGCTGCTGAGCAAATTGGTACCAGTTTTTCAAGTAGGGATCATCGGGACGATAATGGCGGGCGAACATATTTTCTCGAGGTTGGGGATTACAACGCCACCTCCTTGGTACCACTTCTTGAAAGCAAATAGATTTGGAAGCATTGCAAGCACTTGGATTTTGGGAAACTTCATACAATCCTTCCTTCAAAGTACAGGAGCTTTTGAAGTCTATTGTAATGGGGAATTGGTATAAACTCTAACCTCATCCAAATTTCCAACGGCCAATTTTTCTTCATTTCTGTCTCTTCTGTTCACCATGTGTATCTTCTTGGACTTGGTAGGTCTTCTCGAAGCTGAAGGAGCAGAGGTTCCCTAGTGAGATTGAGTTGAGGGATCTTGTTGGGAAGAAGCTCGGTAGTCCAAGAACCGCTGACGGTCCTGGAGGAGGGGCCTGGTCTTAGCGCCCTGTGGGAGGGGACGTTACCTTAAATTTTGGTTGCTATGAGAGCAAGATTGCCTTGTTGCTTATATGCTTTATAAAAGATGCATGAACTGCCACACGATTGAATAACCACAGTTGTTCATAACATTACTCAAAGCTGTTTACCGGACAAACATGTCTAAATGAAGAGACTCTGCGCTTGACAATTACTTTTCGAATTTCCTTTTTTCTTTCATATTTTGGTACAATCACGAGTGTAAAATTAAAATGCGGCTTGCAATGTTCTGAAGCCTAGCTACATAAATTACTTTGCATCAAAGGCAACAATGGCATGACAATTCTATACACTGTAGAAGAACGACCTCTTGAATATCTGCTGGATCACAAGCTACGGATGGTGTTCTTAATTGAATGACCTCGTCTTTCAGGTGCTGCAGAAGGGTTCTCAATCTCCCCTCTCTCGACAGGACCAGTAATCCAGGAGATGGAAATTCAAACACAACGCAAATAAAGCCGAACTTTCTAAATATGCCACCATTTTCGACCTTCCAATGTCTTGACAAGCTCATTAGCCAGTGATGCAAAGTCTTCTGCCCCGTTCTGCAGATCTTCAGTGCGCCTGCTGATTCTCTGATAAAAGTGAAATTTTGGAATTAGAGAAAGGGAAAAGGTAGAGTTACTTTAAGAGTCATTTAAACATTTGCTAGTTGAACGTAACCTAGAAGAACGAAATGAGATTAAAAATGAAAAATACTGGTCATATATTTGGCTTAGACCATGAAAGCATGGTGTTCTATTCTATCACTAAAGTTGTGTGTGTGAACTCATATTTGGACAAAAAAGAAGAAGAATTAGTTTGAGAGGTTCTGCTACAATCTTATATGCAAACAAAGAATACATATGGAAGATAATACTTTTTAAACCCTGCCCAATGAAAATTTCACAACATTCTCCATTTAACAAAGTATCAAATGAAATGCAGATAGTTTCTAACTCTTTCAATCTGTTCACCTAATTTCCTAATATCTTTGCAGGGGAAGAAAGAAAAGAATAAAACTCTTCCATGAATCCTACCTCAAGTTTTTCTCCTCTCTCCATGAGCTTATTTCTTGCTTGGGAAGCCACAGAAGAAGCATCCTGAAATGAGTTCTGACCACATCAGAGAAGACAATTGATTTACAGAGTAGTTTATCTATCATCTAAACTATCATCATCACTTGATATTACCTCAGCCTTTCTGTATTTAGCTCTAATTTCTTCGGCTGTTCTAAGTCTGGGCTTTGTATCACCAGTCCCACCTTGAAATAACTTTTCCCGTTCTGATTCCCCTTCTGCAGTACAAAATGTTCAATGAAAGTATTATTCCACTTACTAACCTCAAAAAAAAGAAAAAAAAAAAAAAAAGAAGAGAGAAGGTCAAATACGACAAAAAGTTTACCTCTCTTGACATCATGTGATGATGAAGTAGATGCTACGGATAGAGGTTCATCTATTTCAATGTCATCTATATGAAAAGCATGAATTGAGTGAATAATCAACAGGGAGAAAGAAGGAAAAAAGAGGGAAATGGAGATAGGTTTGCACAAAACCTATGTTAAGCTCCACATCTTCTTGATGATCTACATGTGGGGATGGGCCTGACTGTTGGGACTTCCAAAACATGCCCTCTAAATGATCAAAAGTTGATTTAGGAGTTGCAGCAGAATCCCCAGTATGGACCATTTTCCCCCCTTTAAGCCCTTTGACAATGCCTAATAACCCAGGCGCAGTACCCTGTAGCCAAAAAATTACATAATGGAAAATAATACATTCTTCACCAAATAAAAACCTAATTAAACTGAATTTTGTTTTCTAACCCGTTTCTTTTTCTGATTCAATGAGACACTCAATGCAGCATCTGCAGCAGCTGCAACAACTTTATCATGGAGACAGGGCAAAGACTCTGGAATCCTACAACAAACAGATATAAAATTTCCAAAATTATCTTTCTAACTAAAAATTCATGACCAAACCGTAGTGCTCAACTTCATATTTCCATCACAGCACTTGTAGATACATGAATATATAAAAAATACCTGAAACTATTCTCAACAGCTAACATAGAGACGAATGCGGATTCATATCCATTTGCCTATAAAATATCTTCAGCATGAGTCTTATAACACACGTGGTAACTTTCAAGAGATTAAGTGCAAATCGCACAATTTTTGAAATTTTCAAGAAGACAACTATACCAGTGTAAAATGTGAATCATCGGCACTCATTGTCTTATCCATGTTTGCCTTACAGTTCCACCTTAGAACTGACATTAAGGAGCTTTCTTTCACCAATTCTAAATCAGGAAAAGATCTGCCCATGGATAGGAACCTCTCATTAGACAACCAATAATGCATATACATCTACAATATCAATCAATAAACAAGCAGTAATGCTATCATAAAAGTAAGGAAGAGTAACCCCCAGTAGAAACATTGGTACTTGATGATGCATTGATAAGGTACTTAATGCTGCATAACCTATATCATTTTCTTGATTACTGGGGCAAGGAAAGAGAAACTTTACCTAATCTCAATTTCTCCAGTCTGAAACAGCAAAACCAATCCCGAAACCCTATCAGCTTTCTTAAAAGTAGCTGTCCAAATGCAAGGTCTTGCATGCTTCACTTTTCTAATGGGTTTATTGTTTCCCTGACAAGACCACAGCGCATCAGCATGCTTGCCACAATAAAGTAGCAAACAAAAATAAAGAAGGCAAGAGGCACCTGAATCACAGATTTTGTCGAGTACAAGCGCAGAGAATCCACACAACAAAGCAAAATGAATGAATTCAACAATCTTTCTTCAGAGTATGGATTTTCTGAAGAGGAGTTTTGTTCAGTCCCAGGTGAATTTATAACAATTGGAGAACAGCCTGGCACAGGCTCATTCTTGGTTGAAGAATCCTTGGAGGCCTCTTCTGGAAGATTATCATCAGATACTTTAGAGGCAGATATTCTGCCATCTGGAGTACCCCCAAAAAAAAAAAATCAGAATTCTCTAATTATTAAGTGAATAGGAAAAATAAAATATTTTATTCTCTGCTAGAAGATATCTGTACTTGCCTATAACATACATTGAAATTGCAATGGACTCCTTTTTCAAGTGCCATGACTGAGGGATGATCATGTTACCCGTATTTCCATCAATTACATGCATATGTGCATCCTTGGTTAAGATGAACATTACTTCCTCTGTGGGGTAAACTGTTGTTTTTGTTTCTGAGTGCTTTGGGCTCTTCAAGAGGCCTTGAGAATTTGTAAGTTCTTTCCAAGTCATTGAAATGGTGGGGGAACTAGAGAAAGATGCATCATTTAAAAAGAACAATACAGTAAAGGAGCTGGTGTCCAGCACCGCGACCTGAAATGAATGCATTAAATTCAAAAATTATTTTAATTTTAACAACTTGAGGTTATGGGCCAACCTTCAAATTGAAGACAATAAAAAAAAGTTATAACTTCACAAGTAGAAAAAAGATACTTACGTGACCACATTCAAATCCCACAGCAAGTTTACCTCCATGCTTCACAAACTGTAGTGCTTGAACTGGGGAATTAATAAGACTTAAAACAGCTCTGCATTGAGGTCCTTTTCCTTGAGGCAAATTGTGAACTGATAAACAAGTTATAACATTGTTAACTTCATAAATAAATGTTCTTTAAAAACTGCTTCAAGATAAACTTAACAGTATGATCTGGCTGCAGAAAGTAGAACATGGTTTCACATCTTATGAACTGTCCAATGGAAAAACAAAACAACGGTTTTACAAAGTCAAGGAGATTGACACTCATAACCTACCTTCAGATTTGGTTTCTGTGACAAAGAGGAATTTTGTCCCATCTGAACAGTCTTTGAGGTTATAAATTTGAACCTATACATGCAAGCAGAAAGAAATCAGTATAGTAAAAGTTAAAAGTTAAAATTGGTGTCCAATAAAGAAAGATATCTGACCAGACCACATTCATTGCCAACAGCCAGATTTAAAGTGAAAACGCAGAAATCCAGTCTTGATACTGGAGCACTTGAACCAGCCACTTTTATACCTTGCACCTGCCAGTTACATAAGATAATTTGGTATCTCCTTTATAAAGACAAAAGTTTATAAGGCTCAAGTGATGAACTCTAACCTCGCCTTGTACAAGACAGATAAAAGATAAGAGTGGATATGTGGCATTCCATATCCGAACAGATCCATCTGAATATCCTGCTAGGTACACTCTCTCAATACTGTTATTCTTAGAAATAGACAGTTGACTGGGCACACCCCCAGTCAAGGGCCATTTTGTACCAGCTGATGGGTTTGGTATTGAGCCATGGTTCACAACTGAGGATATCTAAGATACACATAAACAATAAATAATTATGTGTTGAGAAACATTAAAAGGAAGATGTACGAGCCACTCATGAATGAAAGAAATCCAATACCTCCCATAGAGCCTTAACAGGATATATCATATAGGAATGGGAAAAATAAAAGGAAAAAATATATCCGCTCATGCAATACCTCTGATAGAGCCTTTAATAAGTTCTCCCCAGTGGGTACCCTAATAAGTTTGGCAACCGTCATGGTTGGATTGGTTGTAGGTATCACCACTGGAAACTCCAAACCAGAAATAGAGAGGTTCCTTTCTTTCTGGGACACTAAGGCAGAGAGGCTAGCCTCGTCATAAAAATGCAGTTGCCCAGGGTTTGTTAATACAAAAACATCGGCTTTGTGATTACCCCCAGTTGTCCCAGAACTTGGTAATAAAATCATGTCTGCAAAAGAGCCAGTAAGAGTAAGGTCCGTACGGCCAACACATCTTAAATTCCCCATTCCAGGTGACCATTCAAGAGTTAAAACCTGGAACACAGAGAATCTTATCAGCTCCTGTCTTCAGTGGCAGTAAATAGACAAGACAAACTCTGGTGTATACAACTGTTGATGTACAAAATGTGAAAGGGTTCTTTTTTTGAACATTAACTGGTATACAAAACCAACTCTGTCATTAAAATGTGAAAAGTATTTTACTATTTCTAGGCATGTTACAATGTTTTCAGAAAGTGCACCGTTTTGAAATATATAAAATTTTCTGAAAAAAAGCCATGAACTTTTCTGTAACTACAGTACACACCGTCAAAACTTCTTCTGATCCTATTTCATCGCCACCATAGATAAACAGTTGGCCATCACAATCATTATGGGATTTATAATTTTTGGACCACTGTAAGACAATGACAGGAAGTCTCCTTTCTGCGGATGATAATCGTAACTTCACAACATTATTAGATGGTGAC